CATGGAGAGCTGGTTCGGCAGGAACCTCTTGTTCCCAGGAGGCCCAGTCAAATGTTCATGGAGAGTGGACTTGGCGGCGGCAGAAGCCCATAGAGAAGACCACCTTTGGAAGATGGCTCAACAAAGTTCTCAGGCTGAGCCTGCCACGTTGACTCAAAGGTCAGGAACATCAGGGAAGAGATCGGGTTTTTTTAAACTATGGGCCTCTGGCAAGCTACGCGGCCTACGTGGGGCCTACTGAGAGAGTGTCGGCCCTTGTTGTCATAGAAACTGTCAACTCCATAGCCAAACGGACCTGTTCCCCACAGAAATCGATCCACCTGAAGTTAAGACTCACGGCAGAGTCATCAGCCTGAACAGGAGGAGACCATTGATGCGTCTCATACCCCCACGTGGATCCATTCCACTGTCTCAACAGGCCAGGTTTGGCTTACTGGCCCTTGGAGTTTGACGGCATGAAGCACCACCTCAAGGTGGAGCCGACAGGTATGCGACACTGCTTTTCTGAACCCATAAACATGACCCTCTCACAAACCCCATGGAATGCTTCCAAGATGTGCTTTACTGTTATGAAGAAGGGGGGTGTTCTCCCTCCCATGGATATACGCTACAGAGCATTAGGGTGAACCGAGAAGTTCACGGCAGCGTCTTCTTACCCCGCATCTGTGATTTGGAAATCAAAAAGGATGTGGCTTTGGTAGTACTTTGGCACTTGCTAAAAACATCAGTCTACAACAGCCTGCTGTGAATGAAAAGCAGATGTCTGTTGGTTCTCACCCATCGAAGACTCACTCGTCCTCCATGGGCAAGACACAAGGAGAGCTTTCTTCAGATACCAACCCCCCCATTTATTTCACACGGCACCCGGGTTTCAAAGACAGGACGTTTGTGATAAGCATGAGGGTCAGTTTGAAGACCCCACTGAGAATAAGGCAGCTTTCGGGATTCTCCCAGAGCAGATTTTTGAATCCCGGTCTGGAACATTTCCAAGTTTAAGGCGTCTAGAAAAGGCACAATTACTGGTGAGGACAGCCCTCTCCCCCCCCCTCAGCCCCCAAAATGGCAGCTCGTGTACAATTTTATCACCTTGAGTTGCTTAAGGCCATAGAATACACTCACCCAAAGGATAACTCTGTATATTACACCTGCTTCGACCTTTTAAACACATGTGCCTCGTTACTCTTGGACATTTATAACTTCAGCCACAGGAGAATAAACCTTACTATTTACAATATACAACAAGAAAGTAATAATATTTGCATTAACATAAATACACTCCTTTTTTTAAATACTTACAGAAAGCACGCTGGCTTCAGTGCGTGAATTTATAACACAAAGACCTTTCCCCACTCAGTAGTTCGTTCATTCATTCCTTTGCCTCTGTCTCGAAAAGCACTGATCTTACACACACTTACTCAGGAGTAAGTCCTGCTCTGGCGCTTACTGCCAAGTGGAGCAGTGTAGGATCGGGCTGTAAGAGGAGTTCCCCATCTGATTCTTTCTGCTCCCCCACCCCGCCTCACATATGACGCTCAAATCAATGCAAAGATGTCCAAAAAGTGGATGCAACATGAATCAGGTTCCCAGATGTTGCAGAGACTTGTTTTTTTTGGGGGGGGGGTCTGAAATGTTACGATTTCCCCCATACATGAACACAAGCCGATGGGCATTTAATACTCTAAAACTCGAATCCGCAGGGCTTCAACTTTTCTGCAGGGAAACCCGCGGGGCTCTGCGGGGAAACCCGCGGGGTCCCTTCCAAGGAACCAGAGGCAACCTACGAATTTCAGAACCCAAAGCAGAAACCTCCAGCAGAGTGCCTCCAGGGTGGCAAAAACATACTGAATAAAATGACTGATGGCCGGTTACTTTTGTAAGGGTAGCCCAAAACCTACCACTCAAGGCAGGGCCGACCATGCCAAGGCGAAACCAGTTCCCCTAGAAGCAAGGCGTGAGGGTGCACGAAGCATTAGGATTGCAACCCCATGCCTTCTTTCTCGGGAGTAAACCATACTGAGCACAGACTTCCTTCTAAGTAGATTGCATAGGAGTCAATTTGCAGTGTGCAGGACCCAGCAAGGGCATTTTGCTGTTTCCAGTTCAACCTTGTTTACCTCTACTTGCCCGAGTCCTAATTTTCTATCAACTGCTCCAGTGCCAAGTGTTGTTTTAGGGTTGCCTCGTCCCTCCTTGCAACCAGTGGGGGGGCTGGAGGAGACTTACCGGGATCAGGAGGGAGCAACGCCCCTACCTGCGTGACCCAGAAGAGCAATGTCCCTACCCACGCAACCCAGTAGTGACATCATCACGCAGTTGCTCTGGTATCTGGGCAAAAACTCTATAGTAAATGTGGCTTCTACCATAGAGTTTTTGCCGAAATACCAGAGCGTCACCTCGATGTGATGACGTCACTTCCGGGTACTGTGGGCCATGACATAGACATGTCACTGCATACCAGCTGGGCCTCCCCTCTTTTTCGGGGTAAGTTCCCCCCACCAGCCAGCTGATTGGCACTAGGGTGGTAGGGTGTGGCAACGGGGGACCCCCACCTCTACTGGGGGTGGTGGTCTGGCAACCCTTTTCTGCTCATACCAGCGGGGCTTAGCTGCTCACTAAGGCTATTCACACTGTTTTCTGAAAAGACTTCCCCTCCTGTCTAAGTCGCGATCGACACGCATTGCCAACTGTCATCTTCCAAAGCCGGGCCTTTCTTGCCATAGCGGTGCCGGGAAATCTGCATTTATTGCAGAGAAACAAGGCCTTTTAAAAAAGAAGAAGTCAGCAATGCCTGTTCTTTTGCTACAGAAACTTGGATCATTTCTGTACATGAGGGTTTCAAAGGTGATCAAAGATACGATCAAAGGTGACCGTAGCAGGCAGGGCCGGGATGGTTTCACAACGCACTAACCGCAAGACATCAGACATGCCAGCTCGATCCCAGCCAACTGCATGCGTGGCTAGGTCCATCCTGTCGTCTGTCCTGGGAGACCGGTCTGTAACTGACAAGGGTTAACCAGTCTACCGGATTGGTATGGCCTCGAGTACAAGTCGCCTTGGGTGGGAGGGCCCCGGGGTAACTAGGAAACCTTGAAGGAAGTGAATCCTGTCCCGCCCCCACTTGGACATGAGGGTTTCAAAGGTGATCAAAGATACGGTGACCGTAGCAGGCAGGGCCAGGATGATTTCACAACGCACTAACCGCAAGACATCAGACACGCCGGCTCGATCCCAGCCAACTGCACGCGTGGTTAGGTCCATCCTGTCATCTGTCCTGGGAGACCGGTCTGCAACTGACAAGGGTTAACCAGTCTACCGGACTGGTATGGCCTCGAGTACAAGTCGCCTTGGGTGGGAGGGCCCCGGGCTAACTAGGAAACCTTGAAGAAAGTGAATCCTGTCCCGCTCCCACTTGGACACAGCGGCAGAAAAAGCAATGTGCCTTACCCCACCATGGAATTCAATCGCTAACTCTCGCGATGGTCACTTGTAAGAAACAAGGACCAATCTAGTTATTGGCGCCAAGGAGGGAAAACTGGAGGCCATCAGAAAAACTCTCTAGGGGAAACACCTAATTGTTGCGGGGGGGGAATGCATCATCCCCTAAAACAGCAAAATAGGTAAAATTGGCCACACGGGATTTGTGGTACTGAATGAGGGGCGTCCAGAAGGGACCGATCTGGATCCCTTTCTTCCAAAGAAATCAGACTAAGACAAGTGGTTCAGATATCCCCCAAAGTGAAAAACGGGGCACGCCTCACACAGCAGTCATGTCGAATCTTTGATGGGGGGGGGGGAGCCGTTGTTGAGATACTTTCAGAAACTAAGCGACACATGCGGGCAAAGAGGGAGAGAATTCCCGAGAGGGGACCAGACACAATACCACATTGAAACCATAAGAATGTCCTTCTGAAAGGCTTAATAAATAAATGTTCAATATTTATATTTAGGCATATATCGATCCACACCGAATAGCAGGCTTCTATTCAGTCTCCATTCGTTAAAACAGTAAGGTACAACCATTTCCGAATATTCGGGACCGCTCTATCCCGTGCGGAAGCCAATGACATTTCAGGTCAACAATGTCCACTGTGCATAGCCACGCTGAGCCACCGGAGGTGGAGAGGGAGGGGGGCCCGGCCATCTTTGAGTTTCACATCTGTTACAGTTGGCCTCATAAAGATACCATGGGTGCAGTCTTCCCGCTTCCGCGGAGTCCTGAATCAAAGCAGAGAAAGCATGCCATTTCCGTGCCTCTCAGCCACCCTCCAGATAGTCGATCCACAAGCCAAGTTGAAACTCGGTTGTCGGGTCCCAAGCACACCAACTCCATCCCCTCCCAGTAGACGCACAAGAATATAGCTTAAATACAAGCGGCTACTATTTTCTTTTTTATTTTAAAGAAAGCTGCGGTAGAGATAGGTTTGTCCTCGGAAGGCCGGGTGGCTCCGGCAGGGCAAGTGGAAGCCGTGCAGAGGGTAACGTATCCAGCTTCCACCGAAAACCAGGTCAAGGGATTAAGATAGAGGACTTGCGACTACTGGAGAATCAAAGCAGCGCCATCTTTGGAAGCGCCCAACTCCACCGCCACCGATAAGAGCACTTCACGCAGAAATCAGCCAGCCACCTCTGATCCGAGTAGTGTTGTTGAAGAAAAGCCATGATGTCGGTGTCATAATTTGTAATATCCTCATTAACAAAGGAGCAGAAGGAGGTCCAGTAGCCCACAATGCGTGTGCATTTTGGTCACTCTTGCGATTTCAGTTTCTTCTCCATCTTCTTCCCCCTCCCCTTATCCTTGTTGACTGGCCACTTGGAATCCAATTACTGGCATTTGCCATTTGGTGTTTATTTATTTTTTAATATAATTTTTAAAATACACACCTCAAGCTAGTGGTTTAAAGAAACGTCAAACGTCTGTCGAGCGATGGCGCCGGGTTCAACCACCACGGCCACTGTGCAGAATAAACGGAATGATGTCCTAGCGAAGTAGGATCCTGGGAGGTGCAAACCTGTCCAAAACGGCTGACCGTTCAGTTCGAGGGACGTCTAAGCAGCATTAGGCTCCACGAGGCAACAGGGCTCCACCCACCACCAGAAGACGGACTTGCAAAACAGCACGTCGGGTCAGTTGGGAGACGATCTGCGTTGAGGTTTTTAAGCAGCCTCCACGGAGTGACTTTGGACTGATACGAGGTACGAGGAAATCGGACAAAAGATAACGGGCAGCAGTTGTCTTTAGACTGTTTAAAGAAGGCCTCTAGTGGTTTTTCATAGTGTACAAAGTAGACAATGAAGGCTGCAAGTGAAAAAAAAGTGAGAAATGGATTAGAATAAAGCTTGTTGTTGTTGTTTTTTTGGGGGGGAGATACTCTCATGTTTCTTAATGTCTAGATACATGAGCCGCTACAAAATGCCGAAGGAGAAAAGCAAAAGTCTTCCTTCAAGCAGGCCACATTTACATACTAGGAGCTTCAAGAGACAGGATGTGGGGTTTACACACATGGGACTCCCTATTCGGGAGCACATCCAGCCTGTCCTAAAGGCACTGCAGTGGCTGCCTGTAGCATACTGGATTCGTTTCAAGGTGCTGGTTCTGACCTTTAAAGCCCTTTATGGCCAGAGACCTACATACCTGGGGAACCACCATTCCCCACATGTACCCGAGAGAGCACTGCAACCAGGGGCCCAGAATCGGCTTTCTCGGTGGTGGCTCCGTTCTGGTGGAAATGAGCTCCCAGAAGAGATTAGGGCCCTGCGGGACCTTCTGCAGTTCCGCAGGGCCTGTAAAATGGAGCTCTTCCACCAGGCTTTTGGAGCTGCCACCACCACCACCAACCGACCGCTTGAGACGGGAGAGCCCTGCCCCCCCCCCAGGGATTTCTAACTACAGCCTGAGCCAGCCGCCTAAGACAATCTAAGAAGACCAAAGAGCTGACTGCGAAGAGAGAGAGAATTCTGTAACTACTACTGCTGTGAAATTACTGAATTTATCGATACTAGCACTTTATCTATATATCTAATTCCGAAGTCGCCCCCTGGTGTGCGGATACTTATTTCCGCACATCGGGTTGACCTGGAGGGGAGGGAGAGTTTTGTGCACACGTGGGGCGGTCCTCAGGTGTGCACAAAAATCAGAAACCCTGTAAAAAATATCGGAGGGATGTTTAAATCCCCCCGAAACTGACAGAGCGTCCCCTGCGCATGCGCAGGGAACGCTCTGCAGCCGGCCTCCCGCCGCCACGGGGGGGGGAAGAGAGCAGTGAGGGGCGAGCCGGGATGGGGGTGGGGGAGAGAGCAGTGAGGGCCTCCTGCTGCTTCCTCCTCTGCCTCCCCCCCCCGCGAGTATCGCAGATCCGCCCCTTGTTATATTTATAGTCTTAAAATTGCTTAATTGTTCAATGGTTGTTGTTAATCTATCTTATGTGTATTGGTTGCTGTAGATTTTCCAGGTTGTATGGCCGTGGTCTTGGCATTGTAGAACCTGACGTTTCGCCAGTAGCTGTGACTGGCATCCTGAGAGGTATAACACAGAAAGATGGAGTACTCTCTGTGTCAAGGTAAGAAGAAAAATGGTAAAGCCAGTTTGGCGTCGTGGTTAAGTGCGCGGACTCTAATCTGGGACACTCCTCTGCTTGCACCTGGCTGGATGACTTTGGGCAAGCCGTAGTTCTGATAAGAGCTGTTCTTGAAAAAGAGCCATTTCTGTCAGAGCTCTCTCAGCCCCACTTACCTCACAGGGTGTCTGTTGTGGGGAGGGGAAGGGAAAGGAGTTTGTAAGATGCTCTGTGACACCTTTCGGTAGTGAAGGGCGGGGTATAAATCCAATCTCTTCTTCTTCTAAAGCAGGTAGGCAGGGTGCCGGTCACAGCTACTGGCGAAACATCAGGTCCTACAATGCCGAGACCATGGCCATACAGCCCGGAAAATCTACAACTAAAACCTGTGTCTTTTCAATGTGCTGTACCGCTCCTCTAATCGTACCATCTTTCCATGTTATACCTCTGAGGATACCAGTCACAGCCAGTGTCCCCCCTCAGCTGAGTCAGTGTGAGCTAGCTCACAGTTTTTGAGCCTCCAGCTCACACGTTTTTGTCTTAGCTCAGGAAGGAGGGCTCCAGAGCTAGTTATGCAGTCGTCAAGTCGCTCGCTCTCAACTTCAATGCCTAGATCACAAAACAGAATTTTTGCTCACAAGACTCCAAAGCTTAGAGGGAACATTACTACTGGGAAAATATCAGGTCCTACAATGCCAAGACCACGGCTACACAGCCCGGATAATCTACAGCAAGTAACGAACTCCGGCCGTGAAAGCCTTCGACAACATATTTATGTGTATTGTTAAAATTTTAGGTGTTTTATGTAAGCCGCCCTTCACTCGGAGTCTCATAGTGGCCGGGACGCAGGGTAGAAATTTAATCAATCAATCAATCAAAAAGCAGTGCCAACCAGGGGTCATTTGGGGGGGGATGCGGGGGGACGCCATCCCACCGGGTGAGGTGCGGGAGGGTGGGGCCTGGAGCTCCCTGCTGGTGCCCGCTGGAGGTCGCCGCCGGCTGTGGGGAGGACACACTTCCGGTGATGTCAGGGGGTGTGGCATATGCTAATGAGTTATGCTAATGAGTCCCCCTAGCTCTTTTTCTACGAAATGACCCCTGGTGCCAACTATCCCCCACACTCAGCCATCATATCGACGGCCTAGAGCACTCTAGTCAAATAATTGTTAAGAATGTTTTTGTATTGTGGGATTTATAAATGTTTTTAAATTTGTTTTATATTGGCGTTGCCACCTGTAAGCCGCCCTGAGCCCGCCTTGCGGGGAGGGCGGGGTATAAATCAAATAAATAAATAAATAAATAAATAAATAAATAAATAAATAAATAAATAAATAAATAAATAAATAAATAAATAAATAAATAAATAAATAAATAAATAAATAAATAAATAAATAAATAAATAAATAAATAAATAAATAAATAAATAAATAAATAAATAAATAAATAAATAAATAAATAAATAAATAAATAAATAAATAAATAAATAATTCTTCCTTCCAGCACAGTTGCTGTTCCAGATCTTGATTCTCAAGGTATCTAAAGCAGGTCAAGATCATCTGGATTACAGGCCAGGAGTTCATCGGGCCCCCGAAGCTCCTTATTTCGAAAGATGGCAGAAGACGCATTCCTTCCCATCCAGGTGAACAGCTTTTCCTTGGGCAATCATCACCCCACCCCACCCCCAAATCAGCATCTGCTCCACTTCAACAACCACTTGGGTTTCACATGCTTGGACCTCCAAAATCAGTGCGCAGCTAAAAGAACCGTGTCCCTTACCAGAGGTGTCAAACTCATTTGCTATGAGGGCCGGATCTGACATAAATGTCCCTTTGTGTACCTTAAAACGTAATGCCAGGTACCAGAGATATAAACTGTACAGAGGGAAGCAGCTGGTAAGCTTCGAGTTGGTGTATCCTCACTGCAAGGCCCCGTGGGCTGGGGGGGGGGTGCACAGGAAAAGCCACACGGGCGGACCGGAGAGGCGGCAGTGCAGCACTGGGCAGATACTCCCACGATGCTTGACTGCTGCAGATGAGGTTGTTCTGCCGTGCTGAAGCCACAATGGAGTGGCTCCACCCACTCCCCCCAGCACTCCCTCCCTTGCACCAGTTGCTCGCGGGCCGCATAGGAGCCCTGGATGGGCCGATTCCGGCCCCTGGGCCTTACGTTTGACATCCCTTAGCACAGCTCTCCATTACCCTCCAACCCTGTTTTGTCTCCATACGTACGCATCATAGACTCTCATCCCGAAGGGCGATCCAGTTGGGGCACGTCAGTCCTTACAGGTATAAACCTCTTCTCGCTGCGTACACTGTTTACACTCCACGTAACAGCACCAGCGGACCTGACACTGGCAAGGCCGGGTGACCACCCGGCTTTGGGTGTTGTGGCCTCGGCCGCAGCAAATGCTCTCGCAGTTTTTATCTTTGTAGCATTTCCTGCCCGAAGTGCCAGGCGAATACCTGCTCACCAAGCAAAAACTCGGGGAGTCGTCAATGTAGACAAGGTCTGTAGTCCTTGGGATCTGGTCGCCGTGACCCGGGACAGATTTCTTTGGGGGAGAGATGTCCCCCTCGCCCGTCGCCTCGTTGGTGGTGCTGCCCACTTTGAGCGCCATCTCGTACTTCTGCTTCAGCTGCTTGCCGATCTCGTGGAAGGGGGAGAGCTGCCGCCAACACGTCCGGACGGTACACGACCCCGACACACCGTGGCACTTGCAGGTCGTCTCGACGCCAGCTTTGATGACCTACAGGCAACAACAAAAACTAAAGCCAACTCCAGGATTTCTTCTCTTACAATAGCAAGTGTCTAGTCCAGGGGTGCCGAACTCGTTTGTTATGAGGGCCGGATCTGACATAAATGAGACCTTGTTGGGCCGGGCCATGTGTGCCGTAAAATGTAATGCCAGGGAGCGGAGATATAAACTTGATAAAGGACACAAACACAATTAAAGATTTTTTAAACTTTAAATAAAACAAGCTTAAAACACTAGCACTCTTGCAATATTTTGGCTACTTAACAATCTCTGATAACTGACACCTCTTGCTCTGAGTTATTGCAGCAGCAGAACTGGAAAAGGAAGCAGGAAACGGCCAGGGCCTTGCGGGTCAGATTGCAGCCCTCCACAGGCCTGATCCGGCCCTCGGGCCACATGTTTGACACCCCTGGTCTAGTACATAACCTAGGCATAGTATCACAAACAGAACAGGAATTTCAGGGTCCAGCAACTCTTTATCTACTTTCCTACAACTTGCAGAATTAGTGCAGCGGTTAAGACGCTGAACTGCAGGCTGTGGAAGGTCGGTAGTTCAGCAGTTCAAGACCCGAGTGTGCCGCATGACGGAGTGAGCTCCTGTCTCTAGTTCCTGCTCCTGCCAACCTAGCAGTTCGAAAGCAAGAAATTGCAAGTAGATAAAGAGGTACCACTTCGGTGGGAAGGTAACAGCGTTCCATGCGCCTTGGTGTTTAGTCATGCCGGCCACATCACCACGGAAATGTCTTTGGACAGCGCTGGCTCTTCGGCTTTGAAATGGAGATGAGCACCGCAACCCTAGTGTCGGATTCGACTGGCTTTCGAGCAAGGGATCCTCTACCTTTACCTTTTTAGAGACTTACTTAGCTGGCATAATTTCTACTAAATTCTCATTTTCTTTCTTTTCTTCTTCTTGTAGTTCACCCATTATACAGGCATGTGAAAAAGCCACTGATACATGTAAACTCAGTTGTAGGGGCATTTGGATATCTCCAATCTGAAACAGCACCCAGAATGCCCTGTTTTGTTTCAGGTATTCCTGATACGAAATGAAATGGGGGATTTCAGGAACAGTTCTGCGTCAGAAATAGCCAAATGCACCCTTCTATATCCCAGTACTTTCTATTCTCAACGTCTCAAGCATGTCGATCCCAGATGTGATACAAGACGGTGTTTTTAACTGGAAACATATCAGTTTTAACCTGGGACTTCCCACATGCAAAGCAGTTTGAGAAGCCCTATGCTAAAACATCCCAAGCAAGGGTGCATTTCTCCTCATCAGCTATTACAACGGGGATTTGAACTTGCAATCCCTCGTGCATAAAACAGAGGAAAATGCAAGGCCTAAGCCACTGAGCCATACTCTAGAGGATAAGGGATGACTAATGACACTATCATGTAGACACCCAGTAAGGCAGTTTCCTGGCTGGATCCACGCAACTACTCTCTTCAGCACTTGAAGTGTACTATAGTTCTCTTGGCAGAATCACACAGATTCTTGTGTTACCCTGTGGTAGTGGTGGAGGACGAGGAAAAGAAGAAAAGATTGCATGGATTTATACCCCACCTTTCACTACCCGAAGGAGTCTCAGAGCGGCTTACAATCTCCTTTCCTTTTCCCTTCCTGAAGAGGAAGAGGAGGAGGAGGAGGAGATTGGGTTTATACCCCACCCTTCACTACCCAAAGGAGTCTCAGAGCAATTTACAAACTCCTTTCCCTCCCCCTTCCCACAACAGACACCCTGTGAGGGAGGTGGGGGTGAGAGAGCTCTGACAGAAACAGCTCTTTTTCAAGGACAGCTCTGAGAGACCTATGGCTTGTCCAAGGTCATCCAGCGGGTGCAAATAGAGGAGTGGGGAATCAAACCCGGTTCTCCCAGATTAGAGTCCGCACACTTAACCACTACACCAAACTGGCTCTCACCCTGTGAGGTAGGTGGGGCCGACAGAGCTCTTTTGAGGACTGTCCTTGAGAGAGCAGCTCTGAGAGAACTTCTAACTGACCCACAGTCACACCAGCAGCTGCATGTAGACGAGTGGGGAATCAAACCCGGTGCTCCCAGATTAGAGTCCGTGCTTCCTAACCACCACGCCAAACTGGTGTGGATTTAACTCTGTGGGTTTTGCTTCTACTTGAGGTAATAGTGAAACAGCTGCAAAGGAGCAGGTTCAAAAGGGAGAAATGGAGATGAGTGTTAAGTCCCCGTTTCACAACCCTGTGGAACATACCCATAATTCCCCATCACCGAGCAGAGTCGTTTTTCCCCCCCAGCAGAACTGTACACTGAGGGATCTAATCACAGGAATTAGGGGGGGGGGGTATTTTTGCATTGTGTGTGCATGTGTGGCCATGCCTGGAAGTCATGGCGACCTCCAGTGACTCCTTCTGGGGCATGAACGTACAGAGAAGTGGCTCGATGGCCTGCCTCTGCCTCCTGATCCTAGTATTCTCTGGAGGTCTCCCATCCAAGTACGTGCCAGGGTCGGCCCTGCTTAGCTTCTGAGATATGATGAGATGGGGCTTGCCTTGGTTATCCAAGTCAGCGCCAATCAAGGATTTTTGATGGGTAGCTACGGTAGTAGAGTTGGAATTCACTGTCACAGGAGGTGGTGGCAGCTAAAAGCATGGACGGCTTCAAGAGGGGATTGGATAAGCATATGGAGCAGAGGTCCATCAGTGGCTGTTAGCCACAAGGTATAGATAGGAACTCTCAGTCTGGGGCAAGGGATGCTCTGTATTCTTGGTGCTTGGGGGGGTCAACAGTGGGAGGGCTTCTAGTGTCCTGGCCCCACTGCTGGACCTCCTGATGGCACCTGGTACTTTTGGCCACTGTGTCACAGAGTGTTGGACTAGATGGGCCATTGTCCTGATCCAACATTGGCTTCTCTTATGTTCTTATGGATAAGCATGTGGAGCAGAGGTCCATCAGTGGCTATTAGCCACAAGGTATAGGTAGGAACTCTCAGTCTGGGGCAAGTGATGCTTTGTATTCTTGGTGCTTGTGGGGGGGGGCAACAGTAGGAGGGCTTCTAGTGTCCTGGCCCCACTGCTGGACCTCCTGATGGCACCTGGTCTTTTTGGCCACAGTGTGACAGAGTGTTGGACTGGATGGGCCATTGGCCTGATCCAACACTGGCTTTTCTTATGTTCTTATGAATTGGATCAACATTCAGAGCAAAGGTCCATCAGTGGCTATTAGCCACAAGGTATAGATAGGAACTCTTAGTCTGGGGCAAGTGATGCTTTGTATTCTTGGTGCTTGGGGGGGCAGTAGTGTGAGGGCTTCTAGTGTCCTGGCCCCACTGCTGGACCGCCTATGTGACAGAGTGTTGGACTGGAGGGGCCATTGTCCTGATCCAATATTGGCTTCTCTTAAGTTTTTATGGATAAGCATATGGAGCAGAGGTCCATCAGTGGCTATTAGCCATCAGGTATAGATAGGAACTCTCAGTCTGGGGCAAGGGATGCTCTGTATTCTTGGTGCTTGGGGGGGCAACAGTGGGAGGACTTGTAATGTCCTGGCCCCACTGCTGGACCTCCTGATGGCCCCTGGTATTTTTGGCCACTGTGTGACAGAGTGTTGGACTGGAGGGGCCAATGGTCTGATCCAACATGGGCTTCTCTTATGCTCTTATGACTTAGCCTGAAGTGGCAAACAATGCAGGACACTGAGAGATCTGTGATGGGACAACCCATGCCCTCTATTCCCATCCAGACAGGAAAGCTTACCACCTGGCGGTCGACCGCATCTGCCTCCCACCCACCCCCGCCCTTTCTCACAAGTAAGCAAGTTTGGGGGGAAAGAAAGGCAACACAGCTTTTTCCACTGCCCCGGGCAACTGCCTCCCCTTTCCTAGCGCCCCTCAGACATGTAAGATATGCTTGACCAGACATACCTCAAGGAGGGGGAGGGGGTGGAAAGAGAAAGAAAGAAGGGGGTCAGCCTTCTAGGGATTAAGGAACTTAGCAACGCTCCAAAGAGGTAGTTAGAAAGTCATGTTTAATGATACTTTGCTGAGAAACATGAAAAAAAGCGGGGGGGGAAGGGAATTTAATTAAATCATCGCTTAACTCGGGTCGGGCGGAACAAATCGAGTGGGCTAATACTCCGACTTTTTTCATTAACGGGACACAAAGGGAGGGCTGAGAGTCAAGGAGGGACAGGGGATATTTTCGGCAGACAGAAAGGGCGGCAACGGGAGCTGACTCCAGCCACCCGGCTTTACCCGCACGGAGATCACCCGGTACATTGCCAATGCTCGGGAAGGGAGGGGGGGTCTGTGGTTTCTCACTCCTTCTTTCTCGCTCTCCCCCCGCCTGCCCCCCGCCCCAAAAATGGCTGAGTGAGCTCAAGTGGATTTTGGCAGAAGAGAAAATTGCTTTTTTAATAAGCGACATATTCTTAAAGCTCCTGCTTGTCAATAAAGGGGGGGAAAGGGTGCCCGGAGAGAAGCCCTTCTGGTTAATTACCTCATCTCTCCCGCCAGACAAGCTGGCCTCGTCATGCCCACTGAGGTCATATCGTAGGCACTTAGCGAGGCATGAAATGGGCGCAACGGGGTCGGGGAAGGCGATTATTTCACCCGCTTTGCAGCTAAGTTCCACAGCTGAGCCCTCGAGGGTGTGAGGAGAGAGAGAGAAAAATCCCCTCCAGGAGCTTCTTGCAGCGAAAAGAGGGAAAGTATCTGAAACTTGGCAGGGCGAACGTTGCGTCGCCCAGGAAATGTTTGAGCAGCAGTTATCTAAACCGAAAATAAAAAGTTTCCTGGTAGAGAAGAAACAAAATTCTGCTTGTTACTAGTTCGAGGGACTTCAGACGGGCTGGGGGGAGGGGGATAAACAAGTCTACGGAGCCCTCGGAGACCTGTTATGATCAGGCCTGTTTGTGTCATGGAAAACCAACATTCCATGCAGCTGACGGACCACCAAGCCTGTTCCGTGGAGGAGACACCTTCCGAGGCGCCTGCCGTGCGACTTCTGCGCGTGCCGGACCAGACAGAGGAATCTTGGGAACTGTAGTTTAGAAAAGTTATCCTAGGAATGACTGTCGTCTCCCGGCATCCTCAAACTACAATGCTCGTGGTGGTGGGACCCCCCAATGCTACACACGCGTTCTCTTTTGTGGCTCCTGTCTCGTGGAACCGAGGGCAGGAAGCGCTCCTCTCGATTATTCTGCAGAATGTGCAAAACAGACGTCTTCAGGAGGATATTTTTTTACAAAGGGATCAGGACTGCAGTATAATAGCTGCAGTCCTGGAGGGTGCCTTTTATATGGTGCTGGAGGAGACTCTGGAGAGTCCCCTGGACTGCAAGGAGATCAAATCAGTCAATCCTAAAGGGAATCGACCCTGACTGTTCCGTGGAAGGCCAGAGACTGAAGCTGAAGCGCAAATCCTTTGGCCACCCAATGAGAAGGGAGCACTCCCTGGAGAAGACCCTGATGCTGGGAAAGACTGAAGATCAAAGAAGGAGGTATCAGCAAAGGATGAGATGGTTAGACTGTGTTATCGAGGCAACGAACATGAAATTAAGCAAACTCCGGAGCACGGCGGAAGACAGGAGGGCCTGGCGTGATGTGGTCCATGGGGTCGCGAAGAGTTGGACTCGACTGTGCAGCTGAACAACTGCAAAAGGGCTGCAGCCTGCTGCACTGGTTATCGCATGCATCACTTTGCTTTCACGGCACTGTTTTTGACCTTTGTCACAAAGGTCACAAAGGTGAGCTTCCACAACTCCGACATGCTTAGAATGTCTGATGTTCCAGGTGCGTATGTGTGAGTGTGTACTGGCTACTTCTGGGGGAGGTAATAAAGACGCCATGCACAAATCCAAAGCTATCTCTGCAGCCTACAGTCCTACAAACACTCTGTTCTCTCCCAAATCTTATTAGCTTCAGTTTACCTCTACAAGCCCCCTCCAATCTCGATGCAGGCATCCTTTGTTTTCTCTGAAATTGAACCTCAACTGCAACATCAACCACCGTTTGTTGGGTAAGGGATTCTTAACCCCTACCCCCCTCCAATGAAAGACCGTTCACTGTGAAGGAGCCATGCCAACCGTTTCCTCGTTTCTTTCAAAAGCAGGTGGGAAAGGATGTGTCAAAAAAAAAAGGGTTAACTGAGGTCTGGTTCATTTCATCTTCCCCCCTCATGGGAGTGCCAAACTCACATGATTTGGTTTCTGTACTGTTTCCAAGGAGCAGACGCTTTTCCGTGGAAGAACCCTGCCAGTGGGAAGAAGGGTGCTTTTGCCTAGGAAATGGATCCCGATCCACTTTTCTCCAGGCAGTGCCCTTGCTACAGAGACGAAGATCACACAATGCAAAAGACGGCAGGGTCTTTCCTGGGACGCAGCCACTGTTTTAGGACATGACCCCTGAAGCCCTGGGGAAAACCTGAAGCAACTATCATCTGGCTCAAAGGTCACCTTGGGAGCATGGGGTCAAAAGCGAATGTTGGTGTAGTTCGGTTCAGTGCGCAGACTCTAATCTGGGAGAACCGGATTCGGTTCCCCACTCCTCCACTACAGCTGCTGGATGACCTTGGGCACACCAGAGCTGTTATATCAAGGACAGTTCTGGAAAGAGCTCTCTCAGCCCCACCTGCCTCACAGGGTGTCTGTTGTGGGGAGGGGAAGGGAAAGGAATTTGTAAGCCGCTCCGGGACTCTGAGCAAAGGGCGGGGTATAAATCCAATCTCCTCCTCCTTCTCCTCATACTAGTTTGGTGTAGTGGTTAAGTGCGCAGACTCTAATCTGGGAGAACCGGGTTCGATTCCCCACTCCTCCACTTACATCTGCTGGATGACCTTGGGCAAGCCATGGTTCTGTCAGAGCTGTTATCTCAAGGACAGTTCTGGAAAGAGCTCTCTCAGCCCCATCTCCCTCACAGGGTGTCAGTTGTGGGCAGGGGAAAGACTATCTAAGCTGCTCTGAGACTTCGAGGGAAGGACGGGGTGTAAATCCAATCCCCCCCCCCCCACTACTAGTTTGGTGTAGTGGTTAAGTGCACAGACTCTAATCTGGGAGAACCGGGTTTGATTCCCCACTCCTCCACTTACAGCTGCTGGATGACCTTGGGCAAGCCATGGTTCTGACAGGAGCTGTTCTCTCAAGGACAGTTCTGGAAAGAGCTCTCTCAGCCCCACCTACCTCACAGGGTGTCTGTGTGGGGAAGGGAAGGGGTTTGTCAGCGGCTCTGAGACTCCGAGTGAAAGGCAGGGTAGAAACCCAGTCTCTCCTCTTATCTATTTGTTTATTTGTTCAAATGAAATATTTATTTGTTCATTTATTTGTGTGCATATCTTGCCTTTCTTTGTGATTCAAGGCAATTTATAAATGTGGCAGAATCCAGACACTACTCCAAAAATCTTCCACAAGAGCCTTGGTAACTGGGGGGGGGGGGGGGAACATCCATTTCCCCAGTGACCATTCATGATGTTTTCTCAGCACTCAGATACCAAGTGAATAAGGAAGCCACGCCTCGGACATCAGCTGTATGCAACTGCCATGCGCGTCAGAGATCCTTTCGTCCAGCAGTTATATGACCAGCCAGATGTCACTCTGGAAAGCCCACAAGCAAGGAATGGCCCACCATTACACAGTTTGATGTCGTGGTTAAGTGCACTGACTCTAATCTGGAAGAACCGGGTTTGATTCCCCACTCCTCCACTTGCACCTGGCTGGATGACCTTGGACAAGCCGTAGTTCTGATAAGAGCTGTCCTTGAAAAAGAGCAGTTTCTGTCAAGAGCTCTCTCAGCCCCACCTCCCTCACAGGGTGTCTGTTGTGGGGAGGGGGAGAGAAAGGAGATTGTAAGCCGCTCTGAGACACCTTTGGGTAGTGAAGGGCGGGGTATAAAACCAATCTCTTCTCTTCTTCTTCTGAAGCCATTCGCTCAGAACACGGGCAGTTGCTGCCAACTCCTTCCAATTTATGCACATGAACATGAGAACAGCTGCACGCTCCACAAATCCATCTAGCTGCAATAAAGTCTCGTACTTCCCAGCGCTGTTCACTTAGTTCCTTTTAACCGGAAAGGCCAGGGGCTGCCTATGGGACCTCCTGTGTACAAAGTATGCCATGGAGGTATGGGACCCACCTCCTTAACGGAGGGAAATGTGTATGCACCATCCAGGACTGGAACCCAGGACACAAGACTAACACATGAAGCTGCCTCCGGTTGAATTAGATCCTCCAGCCATTAAGGTCAGTATTGTCTATTCAAACTGGCAGCAGCTCTCTGGGGTCTCTGAATTCTACACACCCCTAATGTAGCCAATCCTCCAAGAGACTACTGTAACGCTCTCTACATGGGGCTGCCTTTGTCGCAAATTCGGAAGCTGCAACTAGTGCAGAATGCTGCAGCCAGGCTATTGATGGATCTTCCTAGACGGGATCACATCCAGCCTGTGCTGAAAGTGCTGCACTGGTTGCCAATAGCTTACCGGGTTCGCTTCAAAGTGCTGGTTGTTACCTTTAAAGCCCTATATGGTCAGGGACCAGCCTACCTACGGGACCGCCTTGCCCCACATGTTCCCCCAAGGGCACTATGGTCGGGGAACCAACATCTATTGGATGTTCCAGGTCCCCGTTCTGTTAGACTCAACATGACCAGGAATAGGGCGTTTTCGGTGGCGGCTCCTATCTGGTGGAATGAGCTCCCAGAGGAGATCAGGGCTCTGCGGGACCTAGCACAGTTCCGCAGGGCCTGCAAGACGGAGCTCTTCCGCCAGGCTTTCGAATAGGAGCCGCCACCACTAGTGCACTACCATCGCACTTGTCACCATCTATCCCCCATATATGGACATCATGATGGGGCACGCACATCTAGGTCCCAAAATCGCTGCACTATGGGTGAGAACGGGACGGTTAGGGATAGCCATCTTGCTTGTAGAACTTGTAGATTGGAAATTTTGCTGAGAGGAGCATCAAATTCTATTTTAATGGGGTTGTAATTTAATATTTTGTACTGTTTTATTGTTTTATCTGGCAATGTGCCCTGTGAGCCTTCGGGGAGGGCGGGATAGAAATGTGAATAATAAATAAATAAATCCAAGGATTGGCTACATCAGGGGTGTGTGTCGCCTAATATGCAAAGGGGCTCCTGCTACGAAAGGAGCCGTGGGCGACACACCCCTAATGTAGCCAATCCTCCAAGAGCTTACAGTGGCCCCTGTAAGAAGAGCTCTGTAAGCTCTCTGAGGATTGGCTACATCAGGGGTGTGTGTCGCCTAACATGCCAAGGAGCTCCTACTACAAAAAGAGCCCTGAAACAATCTATTATCGAAGCCCAGTCAATCTATTACTGGGAGAGGCTGTGGCTCAGTGGTAGAGCATCTGCTTTTGCATGCAGAAGGTCCCTGCTTCAGTCCCTGGCATCTCCTGCTAAAAAGGACCAGGCAGTAAAAGGTAAAGGTAAAGGTTCCCTTGCTTGAAAGCCAGTCGAATCCGACTCTAGGGTTGCGGTGCTCATCTCCGTTTCAAAGCCAAAGAGCCAGCGCTGTCCGAAGACGTTTCCGTGGTCATGTGGCCGGCATGACTAGACACCAAGGCACACGGAACGCTGTTCCCTTCCCACCGAAGTGGTCCCTATTTATCTACTTGCAATTTCTTGCTTTCGAACTGCTAGGTTGGCAGGTCACCAGGCAGTAGGTGACGGGAAAGACCCCTGCCTGAGACCCTGGAGAGCTGCTGCCAGTCTGAGTAGACAATACTGACTTTGAGGGACCGAGGGTCTGATGCAGTATGAGGCAGTTTCATGTGTTCATCAGCTCCTGCTAACATCTCCAGAGCTGATCAGGCTGCTGTTGCTGAAAGACAAGAGTACCGCCCAGAAAACCGAGGAAGGCATCTTAGTTATGGCCAAGTCCAACTCCGCCGTGCGGTCACAACGTGCACAATCAAACACGCACTCGTCATCACGTCAGGTGCCTCCGTGCCACGTGGCCCCAGCATGCGCTCACCTTCATGCCCACCAGGTTGTTGTGGAAGTCCACCCTGGCTCTCAGGTCCTTGTTGGATTTCTTCCCCAGGAACTCCTTGACAAACTTATTGCTGTATTTGAGGTTGTCGCCACAGCCGCCCCACTGCCAGGCCTCGCGGTTCTCCAGGTCAGGAGCCTCGTCACAGGTGCAGCGCTCCATGCGCCCAGCACTGCAAGCCTTGGCCATGGCATGGGTCAGCCCTGCTGAAGAGATGGCATAAAGGAAGGCAGTTTCCTTAAAACCTGCAGAAGACAACAAACAACACTGTTAACCACCTCATTAGCCTCACATGGGCTAGTTAATACCTCAAGAAAATGTCAGGCCTTTGAAGACGAAGAAGAAGAGATTGGATTTATACCCCACCCTTCACTACCCAAAGGTGTCTCAGAGTGGCTTACAAACTCCTTTCCCTTCCCCTCCCCACAACAAACACCCTGTGAGGTAGGTGGAGCTGAGAGAGCTCTGAGAGAAACTTCTCTTGAGAGAACAGCTCTGACAGAAGAAGAAGAAGAGATTGGATTTATACCCCGCCCTTCACTACCCAAAGGTGTCTCAGAGTGGCTTACAAACTCCATTCCCTTCCCATCCCCACAACAGACACCCTGTGAGGTCGGTGGGGCTGAGAGAGCTCTTGACAGAAACTGCTCTTTTTCAAGAACAGCTCTTACCAGATCTATGACTTGCCCAAGGTCATCCAGCAGCTGCAAGTGGAGGAGTGGGAAATCAAACCCGGTTCTCTCAGATTAGAGTCCGCGCACTTAACCACTACAGCAAACTGGCTCTTCTACTCCTCTTGCTTGTGGTACAAGAACCCCTGGACGACAGCCGGTTTCACGATAGTTTCAGGTGGGTAGCCATGTTAAGTCTGTAGCGGTAGAACATTCAAGTCCAGTAGCACCTTAAAGGGCAACACAATTTTCCAGGGTATAAGCTTTTGAGAGCTGAAAGTTCGCTTTTCCAGGAGCAAGCAGAACGAAGATTCGACAGATACGAACAGAATGAAGATTCACCGGAACGAAGATTCACCCCACACGAACAGAACGAAGATTCATTAAGGCGATGGGTCTTCAACCCAATTGTATCTGACAAAATGAGCTTCGACTCACGAAAGCTTATATCACGAGAAACTGTGGTGGTCTTTGAGATGCCGCTGTACTCGAATCTGGTTCTGCCAGAGGAAATCAAGTGTCTTGGAACCAGAGATATCCCATCCCCAAACTGGACTACGGGCACGGGATATAAAACTTTCTGCTGTGCAGGGCCACAGCCAGGATTTTTTAAATTATTTTTTTACTTGAGGGGGGGCATTTAAATATGTTGGGGGGCACTGTGTCAGGAGTGACGAGAGGGTAAAAGTTTTAAAAAGTGATGAGAGAGAAAGAGAGGGCTGGAGTAGGGAGCAGCCCGGCCCTGAGATGCCCCAACTGTAGCTACAGGCCCGCTGTGCTATAGTTTATTTATTTATTACATTTATATCCCGCCCTCCCCACGGTGGCGGGCTCAGGGCAGCTAACAAACATAGGTAAAGGTAAAGGTTCCCTTGCTCGAAAGCCAGTCGAGTCCGACTCTAGGGTTGCGGTGCTCATCTCCGTTTCAAAGCCGAAGAGCCAATGCTGTCCGAAGACATTTCTGTGGTCATGTGGCCGGCATGACTAAACACCAAGGTGCACGGAACGCTGTTACCTTCCCACCAAAGTGGTACCTATTTATCTACTTGCAATTTCTTGCTTTCAAACTGCTAGGTTGGCAGGAGCTGGAACTAGAGACAGGAGCTCACTCCGTCATGCGGCACTCGGGTCTTGAACTGCTGAACTACCAACCTTTCATGTGGATATATACATTAAAGCTCCATGGTATGGTAAAACAGATTAAGTTAAGATTGCAATATAAAACCGTGACTGCTCAGTACATACGATACTCAAACATACACGTGCATATATACATTAAAGCTCCATAATATGGTAAAACAGATTAAGTTAAGATTACAATAAGAAACCGTGACTGCTCAGTACATACGATACTAAAAGATGGCAACGTTCTGTCAACACTTGAATGGCCGCCTACACCCTAGTCCAGGCTCCTGCCAGGCTGTTAGCTGTCCAGTTGGCGGTGATGTTGATGTTAGGGCCAGGGCCATGGTGTTCAAGCGGCACCCTACTTGAAATCCTGGTGGAAGGGCTCTGTTTTATAGGCCCTGCCGAACTGCAAAAGGTCCCGCAGGGCCCTGAAGTCAGTTGGGAGCTCATTCCACCAGTGAGGGGCCGCCACAGAACCTGGCCTCTTTAGGGCCCGGGAGAACCAGGCGATTCTGGGATCCCCATCTTATTTATTTATATTTATTTATTATTGCATTTTTATCCCGCCCTCCCCGCAAACGGGCAAACGGCAGCTCACAAACAAGGGTAACATGTGCCGGTATAAAACATTAAAAGCAAAATAAAACAAGAATATTTAACAGTAATAAAGTGCTCAGTGATCGCATCAAGATGGTGACCTATAGATGTTACCCAAAAGCCTGCTTCAGCGGTACCGACCCATTGCAATATTGTGGCTAGATCTTTATAATGGGCCATCCCATTATCCGTTATTGCCACGAGATAGCTGCTGGTGGTGCCAGTGGCGGCTCCTAATTGGAGGCCTGGCGGAAGAGCTCCGTCTTGCAGGCCCTGCAGAACTGTGAGAGGACCCGCAGGGCCCTGATCTTCTCTGGGAGCTCATTCCACCAGGTAGGAGCCGCCACTGAGAAGGCCTTGGCCCTGCTTGCCACAAAAACTGGAAAAAGGGGGGGGGGACTCAACCCAAGATAGGACTGCGAACCAAAAGGGTTAAGCTAAACAATATACATATAAAAGTACAAATATTTATTAAGGTGTACACATGTTAAAACTTATACTGATTAAACATTTTTTGTCTATGTTCAGACCTCTCCCCCCCCCCATTTTTCTTTGAATA